AAAGTAATCTTGGTTGTAGGTTCTTGGTATTCATCACTTTGAATATTTCTTGCCACTCTCTTCTGGCCTGCATAGTTTCTGTTGAGAAATCAGCTGACAATCTTTTGGGTACTCCCTTGTAGGTAACTAACTGTTTTTCTCTTGCTGCTTTTAAGATTCTCTCTTTGTCTTTTGTTCTTGGATGTCTGTTTTGTCTTTTAGTTGTATTTTTGAAGTGGTTGTGTGAGGCAGCAATTTCAGGTGTTTACCTATGCCTCCATCTTGGTTTATTGAGAGACGCAAAATATTTTTTAAAAATTCATAATGTAAATATAGAATGCCCAACTCCTTTTCCATTGATTACCAAAGATAATAAGCGTAAAAAAAGCACTGACAATTTTTGCAACGTAAGTATATTTTAATGATAAACACACAAGAGTGTAAAATGAAGAGAATATTAGTCCAATTAATTCTGATAAAATAGAATTAAGCCATTGGATACAAACCTTATAAGAAAGTGTTGTAATAGTGCATATTTTATGTTTATTTTGTTTTACAGACATCAATATTCTTCAAATGCAATTTTGCAAAATGTTTTCACATTTGGAGAGTACACATGTCTTTTGGTAAGACTGATCCAAGAATATTCTATTTCTGCCACAACTCAGCCCTTTATTGCAAAATCAAATGCACTAAATTTATTGGTTCAATTGTTAGTATGAGATAACTCAAAGAAGGCAGAAATGGAAAATTCCATCTCAATCGTTGGAGCAAAATGAGCTGTGCACTATTCACTTTTCTTTTCATATTAATGTAATTATATACTTTTTCTGTTTTTTTTCTTCTAATGTCTTAGAATTTTAACATTTTTTTCCACTTCTAAAGGTAGATATTTATTCTAAGTCTTGGTATTTCCTTATTTGAAATATTTATGCCAACACATCCATAATTTCTTCATTTCTTTTATAAATATCAGTTCATTTAGTTTTTAGATAATTGAAGCGGATATAATAATGTCTATTGAAATAGGCTTAGGCAGAGATCAGTAACTTGTCTGAAATAGTAGATAGGAATTTTAGGATTTGAATACACATCTACCTAAACCAAAGCTGTCCACTTTCTATTATATGAAAGTAAGTCTACATCCATTGCAACTGCTACTGCCAAGGTCTTAGACATACTCTTTATGAAAGATTATTTGGAGATCCCTGTCACCCTACTACAACAGAGGTGAGAAGAGTATGGGAATATTTGAGTTTTACCTTCAACTAAGATACTGGTCTTATTTCTTACACCTTGATTATTGAAAAACAAACAAAAACAAAAACCCACAACTTCAGTATTTGTTTTGGAGGAGGCAATGGCATTATAACTATATATATTAGTGCCCTTGCTTCTTACAATAAATGAGGTTTAGATGAGAATATTTGTTTATTGAAGAAATTTACTTATACCTCAAATATTTCAAAAGTCCTGAATCTATTCTACAATTACATTTCATGGGCCTGATAGTCTTGTAAAGGGCCTGTTCAACACTTTACCATTTCTTCTAGACAATGGGAATTGAAAATAGCCATAACATTGAAAAAAAGTATTTAAACTGTGATAAGAATGAATGA